GAAAATTGCTACTGACTTGGTTGGGGATTAACCATAAAAATTAGGAATAATTCTGAAGAATCGTCAATTTTTTTTTTCAATTACATATCGACAATTCCAGGGAATATCGATAATTTTTTCCAAATTTTCATTTGGGAATGTACGAAAATGATGCCTATCGTTAGTATAGAAAGTGCTTAGTTGCACGTATTAAACGACCACTGACTATATTGTTTGCACTTGTACCGCTGATGTGAAAAAGAACTGATCGTGAGTGGATCATGCGAAGAGCACATGCTTGAGTGCATGTTGTTGTGCACGGGAAGGACTGACGATATTGCGAGAAATAGACAGACCCCTTACCCGAAAAAAAAGAATGTGATGAAATTTGTTCTCATTACGAAATTTACATTTTTCTGCTGTTGTTTCTCTTTTTTTCGTAAAAATCACGTCTGATAAATCATTTCAGTACTCGATTTTTTGCTTGATATTTTTATTGAACACTTGCATCTGTCAACGATGAAATTCCGTGTTGACGTGCGATTTACATTTTTGCTTTCATCGAACAATCCGTGTAAACAATTCATTTGCACGCATAGGTAGTGCTTTTTCTTCGGAAATTCCTTGTTCAAACGTTTCATAATCAATTAACAATGAGATAAACTCTTCGTTTTATGTACAGGGGCGTGTTTGGAGTGATCACGAGAATATCGCATGAGAAAATGTGGGTATATTGTGGTGGAGTTTGTGCTGAGAATGAGACTAGATAATGTGGGAACATTAGTGAAGACATGAAGACGGGACACTAACATTGTTTACGGAAAATTTTAAAATTCTCGTCAAGCATTCGTGCCAGCTCGTTCGTGTCAAATCGTATTCATGTAATCGATCTCGCTGTCGATCTCTGCTTGTTCAATATCATGTTTCGTGAATGAATTCGAGGCGAAATTCTCATTTTTTGTGAAGTTTCAGCCATCAGAATTTAGTCAGCTGATTGAGGGAAATGCCTATGAAGAAACAGTTTTGCAAATAAGTTTTTTGCAATACAACTCTACATTCATTCATGTATTATTATGATCGAACTTGTATATTCTATACTTTTTCACATCGTATTCTAGCTCGATTTGGAAATCAACGCTGTATTTGCATTAATTCTCCTGTTCTCAACGATCCAAGATTTTTCAATGATAACGAGATATTCATGGATTGATAAAATCCTCATTACAGTAAAATACTAGGATATGTATCGCTAAAATAATATTTTATCCTCAGTTCAGGAAAAAACGATATTCACGAAAAATTATTCCATTTGGTAAAACGACAAGAAGTGAGGTGACCACATATCGATCAAGAATCTGAGAAAGATTTCAACAAAATGTGGGCCTTAAGATCGCGAACAACATCACAATGCGTGAAAGCGATAAGGCGACAGCTGAGGCATGTTCGAGTGGGGACCCGTAAACGACGCCATAATGTAAATGTATTACAACGAGGTACTTTCTTTGCACGGTTTCCACAAATCGTTCATTTTCGAGATCGCATTCAGTTTTTGAATACTCAAAATTGCTTCATGACACCACAGTCGTGATAAATTCCCATGATCCATTCACATTTGCATAAAATGCGTAATTACTTTGCTATCAGCTGCATGCAATTCGACATGCGCCAGTAAATTTATGCAATGCGATGCCACTAAATTATTTATTTTGCTTACTTGTTCATTGTTTGATTCATTTGTTTATTCACCTTTGATATTTGCCTTATTCATCATCATTATTTCATTGATCTATTCATGTGCACACCGTTGATTCGAGATTCATAGCTTCATTCATTTCTCCGTAATTGATGACTACTTTCACTTGATCAATCAGCGTTTGACAGAAAAATTGCAACATTTGTCAAGGAAATTGCCAAGCAAATAAAGAAGGCGTGTTAAATGAATGCAAAAAATTGTTTTTATGAAA